TACTTAGACAGACTCTGCTTTTGAATACTTATCTAATATAGTAGTAGAGTGCCCATTTGTGTGGTGATTGCAGGACTAGTTCCCTGTGTAGTGACCATTTGTGTGGTGATTGTAGGACTAGTTCCCTGTGCAGCACAAGAGATTGAAACGTTTTCTGAAGATACGAGAAACAAGGTTTGTATGCCAAAGATTGGGGCACAAAGTTCGGATCTTGGCCGAGTTTCAGCTAGATTTTTGGTTGCTATTTCTCCTATTTGGTCAAAGACACTACTTGTGCAGAGACTTTTGCATTTAGACGGAAGGGCTTATTTTATTTGGGCTTGATATATTATGCTTGAGGATTAAAAGAAGGAAATTTTTGGATATGCTTCAAAATCCCGCGTTTAGAACATTAATGAATCATCAGAAAGTCTTCAGCTTTAGATGTTAATGAGGGATTGAATATGTATTAAGCAGAGTCTAGTGTATGGATCCCTGGTGGTGCTTTCCTCTTAGTCATTTACCTGTCAAATTCTGTGACTCATCTTTGATGTTCCTTGGAAAAAATCTTTCTTCTTTCATTGTTTTTTTGAGTTATTCCCATATGTAACTTATCCTTGATGGATGCTTCTTCTTGCAGTTAACTTCATAGCTATAATAACATACCACATTTTGCCTGACAGTAGGATTTTCGGGTTGCTTATTGCCTAAGTTTTGTACAAAAGAGCTATTTTCTTTTTCTTTTTTTTAATTCAAAAAGGGCTTTAATTTCTTTTCTTGGTTACTCAAAAAGAGTGTTTGTTTCTTCGTCCTTCTCATTCATCTTACTCCTTTTAAATTTTGGAATGCAGTGATCTCAACACCCTGATAGTGAAATGGCGAAATCACAAGGCATCACAGTTTCTCCTCCTGCGCAGCAGCAAGGAAGCAAAAATGTTCAGACTGGACGTCCCCAGAATATACTCACCTTAAGCTTGACTAAAGGAAATACAACATATGATGAATTTAAACATGGATTCCCATCTGATGGCTTATCCACGGCATCCAATAAATGGTGGGGAAGCAATAGCCCTGATGGTTATAAGAGCATCCATGGAAAAGGAGCTGAGACTGATGAAGACAAGAAACATCAGTCGGAAAAATTGGCAGGTGATGGTGCAAGTTCAACTGTAGTGGACAAAGAGAAATGTGAAAGTGGGAAAGAAGAGAACATTAGTTCCCAAGGAACAGATTTACTGATGGCTGTGAGAAAAAGAAGTCTGGAAGAAGGGCAAAAAGCACTTAAGCTTGTGTTTGGGCCAAAAATTGACACACACAAACACAACAACAAAAAAATCATCACCCAATCAAACAAAGATCCTACACAAGAAAACCGTCAAAGGACAAGTTCAAAATCAACCAACAAGCCCACTTGAATTTCAAGTGAAACCAGCTCCAGATCAGAATCCGCAAGTCATTCAAAACGAGATTTCTCTCGTTACAAATTTGGTTCAGCAAAAAACCAAAACAGGCAGGGTTTGAGTCTCCTCCAAATATGGAAAACCTCAACAAAATTCACAGTGCAGTCTATAGCCCACTGAAGCCCTCAAAAACAGTCACTTCTGCCCGTGCAGATTGAGAAAATTGCAGTTCTGCCCACTCAAAAACTTCACAAAAGTATGAGGTGCATCAAAGCTCTGCCAGAATCAGCCTTTGGTATCGATTTACAAGTTGAAGCTTAGCAGTCAAGGTTGTCAACGGTCCAGTCCAGCCCAAGCGTCTCCAGTCCAGCCCGGGCATTTCTAGTCCAGCCCAGAACAGAACCTTTCATCTCGACAGAAATGGAGTTCCAACTGTATCTTCATCTCTCTAGCATGAGTATTTATTGTTATAGTTTTGTAAAAGGCAGTTCTGCCTAAAAACAGTTTAAATTCCATCAACCATTCTGGCCAGAACAACCTCTTTATACTGAGATAAATTGTTAAAGTCCTCACCAGTCTGAGGCAAGAAAAGAACTTACTTGGGAGATATTCCTCACCCAAATTCACAATCGTTTGTTTGCAGAAATCAGTAACTTGGGGCGCAAGTTATCCATTCCAAAA